GGCTTCCATCTGAAATTGTATAGGGTTTTTCAGCCCATTTGAACTGTACTTGATACTGTCGGCTGCGGGTTTGGTTGTGCAAGGAGAGAGGGTTTACATTGATCCTATCTTGGTTTCGCGGCAAGCTCACGGTGTTGATCGCTATCATCAACAGGTTGTGCGGCCACCTGAAGCGACTCGAGGGCTGTGAGGCAGCTGCGAATGGATAAGCATTCGCTGTTATCCAGAATTGAAGACATTACTCCAGACTCCAGATTGCTGAACAACAACTCTGCAAGAGTAGTGCCATTCCACTTTCATCATTCTATTGTTATTTGGGGATATATATGTCGAAACATGGTTTAGAATGGTAAGGTTTTTTCCATTCAGTTTTACTTCCATAGGCATTTCCACCTTTGTTAGTTTGACCAACAAGGAAAAGGCCACTTATCTAGATTGCTTTCAAGGACATAATTGTGGCTTTAAAAGGAAAACACAAGCAGCTCATGTGGGCTGTCACTGGAAAGCTAAAGTCGGGCTACATAACAGCAATCATGGCTCCATCAGAAGCTAGAAAGACGTCTTCTCTTTCTACTCAGGCGGGAAAAATGGTCTGGTGCATGGTTGGCGGAATGATTTTTACTAATGGGAAGAAAGTTTTGATTCATTCGTACAAAAAGATCGTCGGCTTTGTTTCGCAATATGATACCGTGCATGGAAATTTGACCGTGGAAAAAATTTTGTGGGTTAGTGCTTGGTGCAGGTAGTTGATGTTGTGTTTTGGGGATGCAAGTTCAATACGGAAATTTTACTTGCTCTTTGTTAAGTCGTTTATAATTGTTAAAATTAGTTTAGTAATGAGCAGGTAATGGTGTTCATTCATTTAGTTAACTTTACTTTCTTTCATAACTACTTGCTATTTAGATTTTCTCTATATTTTATTCTTTTAACTTATTGTTGTTTGGTTTTGTATTAACTGCATTTACTTTTTATATTTGAAGACTATCTGCAGATTTGCCAGAGGCGGATGAGGTGCTTATAATAGAGTAGAGAGGGGATTGACTTCTTAGGATTGCATGGAATTCGGTGTTCTTTAGTTGTGACGGTTGAGAAATGAGGTATATTTGGAAGGTTCTTTTTTTTTTTTTCGATGAAGGGTTATCCAAAGATTTAATTCTGGTGGATAAACACCGAAGCTTGATTCATGCATTCACATTTTATCATACACTCATACTTCTTTTTACTTGATTTTGTTCGAGGTTTGTAGTTAATTCATTCTATACTCTCATAACTCTGGCTACAGATTTAATTCTTTTGTTTTATTGTTAGTTTTATGATAATTACCTCACATTTCAAACAAAAACACCGAATTAGATTTTTATATGTTGTAAGAGCTATCGACCATTTTTTAGTGCATGGACTCATCATTTACAGTGGTTCTGAGGTTCTCACTTATGTTGTGAATTTGGAATTAATAAGAGTACAAGGTGCTTGCTGATTGTTCTTCAAAAAGCTTGGTTGTACCAAGATTTCTTAGGATTACAGTAAGTTTCTGACTTTGTTGTCAATAATTCCATCATCTCATTAGAGAATGAAGAATGAAGCCTTGAAGTATAATTTGTTTTGATAAGTTGGTTGTTCGGTTTATAGAATGATATTTTCAATGTACGACTAATTTAGCCTCCATTACAGACTAAATTTGAGTGACTATGCTTGCACATATGAGAGACGACAAACTTTCACTACATACCAATTTAAAGCATCGCCTCTTCTCAAATACTATTGATTCAGTTGAGACCGTGTCAACCTAACAAATATAATATATGTAGAGAGCTGCAGCAATTGAACTGCAACAATTGTCTATAAAGCTGTGTAATGAGTTCTTTATGGTGAAAGCTTATTTTGTTAACAACCAGTCTAAAAATTATTTGGACATCTGATCATTACAACTAATGAAAAATTTCTGCTGTATTTTTAGACTAAGTTTGAGTCTGCCGTACGTGCACGGCGTGACCCATCTAGTATATTATATATAAATGTGTACCAATGGATAATGAATAAAAAGAAAGGAAGACACGTGTAGATACATGGGAACCAAAGTCCATCTTCCATATCGGAATTTCATGGACGTAAACCGACTTTGATCTTCTATAAATAAAGATACGACTCTACACCTTAAGGTATCTGTTATAAGATATAATAAGAATTTGTGTTATTAGAAAATCCTAAGTTAAAATTTGGGAGTATTACAGGGAGTCAAGTTTTCAAGTATCGTCATATAAAGTATGTTTTCTATTTATCTTATGTATTTATTTTAATAAAGTTTAAATTAGAATTTTAGTATTTTATTTAGTCTAGATTAGTATTTTAGTTTTATGAGATAGTGTGTTAATATTATGTTGTAGGAGAATAGGGTAATTTTATTTAGCTTAGATTAGTCTTTTAATTTTTATTGATTGATACAATGATATAGGATGATTAATATTATGTAGTATGAAACCTTTATTGTTAAGTAGATTATTTTATTAAAATAAATTGAAAGATTTATGTTATAATTTTATTAATTGTTATATAAGGCATTATTTAGTTAAATAAGATTAGTAAAGAGTCAATTAAGATAAATAAATAATTAGATAGTCAAATAAGTTAGTGTAAAATAATGAATTTCAAATAATAATAATATTAAGACTTTTTATGTTATGATTAGATCGAGATGACTTAACGGAGTAGTTTAAGACCGGCACGGTCTGAATGCGCGGGTCTTTAAGCAACACGTACGCTAGTACAAAAGTAAGTAAACCACCTTCTCATGGAGCAGTCAGTCGTTCTGCCATCGATTACAGGCAAACCTTCCCCGCGCTACAGCCCTCACTTTCTATTAAGCTAAGGACCTGAGGTAAGTACAAGTCCATCTGCTTCTACAATGGATAAGCTGAGTATTGATCTACTCTATTATGTGAAGATTTATGTGTTTATGTGGAAGTGTTTTTATGTGAAAAAAATTTTGATATATGTTAATATCATTGTAAATAGCATACATTTCATGTTCACGTGCATGCATATCTTACAGTCAGATAGAATATCTCGCATGCACGACATAATGAATAAAAAAGAAAAAGTATTTTATTAAAAAACTGGCCGCTGTTACGCACCGAGGTCAAGTGTCCCGTGAGACATTGCATAAGGGCGTGTGAGACGTAAGGACTTGACTTATTATTATGTTATGCTCAGTGCCCCGTGAGAAATTGCTTTAAGGCGTGTGAGACGAAAGGACTGAGTCATTCCAGTGCCCCGTGAGCCATTGCTTTAAGGCGTGGGAGACGACCAGGACTGGAATGTTATGATTATTGATGATATTGAGCTCATTTCCGGTGCCTAGTAGTGAGGTCAAAGGGCCCAGAGAAAGAAATGTTTTTCAGAAAGAAATGTTTCCACAACATGAGCATTTGCATTTCATGTTGTGCATATAAGTTGATGATTTTATTTCTTGACATGCATGACTTTAACTTATTGAGCCATAGTTCATATAGTTTATGCATTGTAGGTGATCTTGTTGATATCTGATGATCGACGTGACCAGACTGTTGGATCCAAAGAGCTTTGAGAATGTGTACATGGATGACGACCTGTTGGGCCAGCAAGTGAACTTACGTTATGTTTAAACTTTTTTTCAATAAACCCTAATATATAAAAGTTTCAAAAACAGTGTTTGGATGCTTTTCAGTATGTATAAATAATAATATCCATGTTATGTTTATAAATAAACTGAAGTAAATCTCCAAAATATAAGAATATTTAGTAGTGGAAGAGTGGTCGTGACAGTGGTATCAGAGCCCAGATTGCAGGTCTTGTAGACTGTTCATGTACACGACTCAGAGCTCATAGAGTACAACAGTACCAGTAAGCTTTCATTGTTATGTGTTTCACTTGTCTTATACATATTATTGGCCATGTAGTATAAATATGGCAAGAACTAGGAGCGACGGTAGTGGTGGTGCTAACAGAAGAGAAGGTGAAACATATAACCCACGAGACAACCGTGATGCATTCATCGGACGATTAACTGAACTAGTAGAAAGACAATCCCATCAAATCCAACAACTTATTCAACAGAAAAATGCAAATGGGTTTTCAAGAGATGTTGAAAATCAAAGGCCATACCAGGCAGGACCAGTCGAGATAGTTGGAGAAAGATTCCGAAAATTAAATCCACCTATTTTCGAGGATGCTGCAGATCCAGTAGAAGCAGAAGATTGGTTGAGAACGGTGGATAACATGTTCCAATATAGCAAAGTTTCTGAGGAGGAAAATGTTTTGTGTGCCTCTTTTATGTTACGTGGTAGTGCTGGACATTGGTGGGATACAATCAAGTGTATCGAAGGTGTGACTACCATGACATGGGACCGATTCAAGGAGCTCTTCAGAAGCAAATATTTTACACCTCCCATAAGAGCAATGATGATGAACAAGTTTATACAACTGAGGCAGGGCGACATGACAGTTGCAGACTACATCCGCAAATTCGAACAACTCTCAAGGTTTGCGGAACATATGGTTAGTACTGATGCTTTGAAAATAGATCGCTTCCTCGAAGGTTTGAAACCAGAAGTTTATAGAGACGTTTGCATGGCAGGGGTACATGGATCTACTTACTCACAAGTAGCTGAGAGAGCTCTTATTGCTGAGCAAGCAGAACTGGAAATAAGGAACGCAGTGGAAACTAGACACCAACTTGTATAAAAACAAGGACCGCGTTGGGTTGGAATGGAGAAAAAGAGGCCAATGCAATTTCAAACTGAGAGACCTATGTTACAACAACGACAAAGGCAAGAGCAAGGGGATGCAAACAAGCGTATCAAACTCAACCAAGAAAAAGCTCCAGCATTGCCTCCTACTTGTCCTAATTGTAGAAAGCAACACAGTGTGGAATGTTTGAGAGGAAAAGGAATATGCTACACGTGTAAACAACCAGGACACATGGCGTATATGTGCCCCAGTCAACCAAAACCAAAGCTTCGAGAAAAAGTACAAGCCAAATTGTTCACCATGACTTGTGAAGATGCTGAGGCGAATCCAGAAGTGATCATGGTGAAGAATAATAATTATGATTATTATTACTGTTATTATTATCATTATTAGTAGTAGTATTTTTATTATAATATTTTATTATTATTTCTTTCTTTCTAGTTGGTAGGAGAATATTTATTTATTTGGTATTTACTTGTTTAGCAAGATAGGGATTTAGACTTGAACTCTATATATTGTGTCCTTCTCCCTTCAAGCCGATTGGCTATCTTTGAATAAACTTATCGCATTTTAAGATTTTATATCTTATTCCCTTTCGTTTATCGCTGCGCTACATCAATTGGTATTCAGAGTTAGCTACGATCCACGTTGCCGCCAAAGAGGAACGATTCGGCCTAACGGCGGGCATGGAGGATATTCGTGAGGCTCTCCACACCTTGATGCGACGCGAGCAGACGAACCGTGACGGGCCCGATCATCGGGACGACGGTCACGGTGGGCAGCGTGGTGGCCGTGGGGGTCGCGGTGACGCGCATTTTGGTGGTGGCCGACGTGCGCCGTACGAGGAGGAGGGCGGCGACTCGGACGCTACGGAGGAGGAGTATAACCCGTTTGGGCGTGATCAACCTCGTGGAGACGACAACCCGCACGGCGAACGGTGTTGGGAGAGTGCGTTTCGTGTGGACATCCTCAAATTCGACGGAGAGCAAGATGATGGGTCATTGTACGATGGTCCGCCCATTTTTGATGAGGAGCCTCCAGTGATGAAGGCATATTTATGCGATAATATGGGTCCCGTGTGGGACGTGGCCGAGGTTGAGTCTTCAAATGGGAAGCCGTCGTCCATACTTGATTTTCGGAGTATCTTGGCCAAATATGGTTTTTGGAGCCGAAGCCGAGTCTCAATAACTGGTGGGCCATTTTCCGATTGTCTCTCGCGAAGTCTCCCAACAACGGGATGCTTGCCCGTAGTTATGCATTTGAGCACGGTGAACGATGTGGTATGTTTGGTGTTAATTCTGCTGTGTGGGTTATGCGTAGGAAGGCGTGTATATGTACCTTTGTAGCAGTACAACACTTGGTCAAACTTATGTTTCCCATCGGGGTTGTTGGGCAACCTTCATCTTTCGTATTCGATCGGGGGAAACGTCGGGCTATTCTTGTCATGGGGACGTCTCCAACGGGAATGGGTCGGATTCGAGGGCGAATCCTGCTCAATCGGAGGAGAATGGTGCAGAATAATAATTATGATTATTATTACTGTTATTATTATCATTATTAGTAGTAGTATTTTTATTATTATATTTTATTATTATTTCTTTCTTTCTAGTTGGTAGGAGAATATTTATTTATTTGGTATTTACTTGTTTAGCAAGATAGGGATTTAGACTTGAACTCTATATATTGTGTCCTTCTCCCTTCAAGCCGATTGGCTATCTTTGAATAAACTTATCGTATTTTAAGATTTTATATCTTATTCCCTTTCGTTTATCGTGCGCTACATCAGATCACAAGTAACATATTAATCTCTAGTGTTCCTACTTTTGCATTATTTGATTCTGGAGCCACACATTCATTTGCATCTACTGAGTATGTGAAGAGGCTAGCTAGAGTATCTGATAAAACATAAAGAAATTACAATGTTATGATACCATCTGAAGAGACAAGACAAACAAACCAAATGATTCGAGCTTGTGGTGTCTCTATTGAACGAAGAGAACTATATGTTGATCTTATCATAATAGACATGAATGACTATGAGGTAATATTGGGCATGGATTGGTTATCGAAGTACAATGCCACAATTGATTGTCGGAGAAAAATCATATTATTTCAACCACCTGGTGAAGAATCATTTTCTTTTATCGGGATTACCAAAAATCTTTGGTTTCCAGTAATTTCTGCAATGAAGGCACAACGACTACTGAATGGTGGTTGTACAGGCTATCTAGTAAGTGCAATGAGTATTGAAAAGGAGAAAAGCCCCAACATTGATAAAGTTCCAGTGGTTCGGGAATACATTGAAGTATTTCCTTAAGATCTTCCAGGATTACCCCAAGATCGTGAAATAGAATTTGTGATTGATATACAGCCAGGAACTGCTCTGAAATCCAGATCACCATATAGAATGGCACCCGCTGAATTAAAGGAGTTAAAAATGCAGCTACAAGAACTATTGGACAAAGGATTTATCTGACCCAACTTTGCACCTTGGGGAGAACCAGTTTTGTTTGTTCGTAAGAAGGATGGCACATTGAGAATGTGTATTGACTACCGAGAGCTTAATAAGGTCACAATCAAGAACAAGTACCCTTTACTAAGAATGGATGATTTGTTCGATCAACTTCAGTGTGCAACAATAATTTCTACGATTTATTTGCGCTAAGGATATCACCAGTTGAAGTTAAAGAAAGAAGATATTCCTAAGACAACCTTTAGCACGAGGTACGGTCATTATGAATTTATGGTGATGTCGTTTGGTTTGACAAATGCTCCAGCTGCCTTCATGGACTTAATGAATAGGGTATTTAAGGATTTCTTAGATAAGTTCGTGATTGTGGTCATCGATGATATCCTTATATACTCTAAATCAAAAGAGGAACATAGCGGACATTTAAGGAGAGTACTTGAGGTATTGAAAGTAAAGCAGTTATATGCAAATTTAAGAAGTGTGAGTTTTGGTTGAATCAAGTGGTGTTCCTTGGACATGTTATATCTGGGGAAGGGATCTCGGTTGACCCGAGTAAAGTAGAAGCTGTTGAAAAATGGCCTCGACCGAATAATCCATCAGAAGTACGTAGCTTTCATGGTTTGGCAAGATACTATCGAAGATTCGTGGAAGGATTTTCTAAAATTGCTTCACCATTAACACAGTTGACTAGAAAGAATGTAATTCAAAAGGAAAGAAGCTTGTGAACGGAGCTTTCAAGAACTTAAAAGAATATAAACATATACACCTATTCTATCAATCTCATCAAGGGGTTGAGGTTTTGTTGTCTACAGTGATGCAACAAAGACCGGTTAGGGTTGTGTACTCATGCAGAATGGTAGAGTAATAGCATATGCTTCAAGACAACTGAAGGAGTATGAGAAGAACTATCCCACACATGATTTGGAGCTTGCAGCAGTTGTCTTTGCACTTAAAATCTGGAGACATTATTTGTATGGAGAAAGGTGTGGGATTTTCACCGACCATAAGAGTTTGAAATATTTCTTTACACATAAAGAACTTAACATGAGACAATGAAGGTGGATAGAACTGGTTAAGGATTACAATTGTGTTATTAATTATCATCCAGGAAAGGCAAAATTGTTGCCGATGCACTAAGTAGAAAGTCGACACAGCAAAATTCAATAACAGTTCTTGCACAAAAGCAAGAACTACTTGATTTACATAAGATGGATATTGGTGTAAACGAAAGAGGATCGTTGGAAGTAAAGTTAGCAGCTCTAACTCTTCGTTCCTCCTTAATTGAAAGAATACAACGGGAGCAACTCAAAGATAAGTATCTGGCAAAAGTAAAGAAGATCTTGGTACAGGAACATCATCTGATTTTCACCTATCTAAAGATGGTGCACTTAAATTCAAAGGTCGGTGGTGTGTACCAAACGACAAAGATATCTGTAATGACATTATGAAAGAAGCCCATTCAACACCCTACTCAGTACACCCATGATCCACTAAAATGTACAGAGACTTGAAAATGCATTACTGGTGGCCAGGTATGAAGAAAGACATAGCCCAGTATGTTGAACAATGTTTAACTTGCCAATAAATAAAGGCAGAACATCAACGACCAGCGGGAACATTGCAACCTTTAATTAAACCAGAATGGAGAAAGACATAGCCCAGTATGTTGAACAATGTTTAACTTGCCAATAAATAAAGGCAGAACATCAACGACCAGCGGGAACATTGCAACCTTTAATTAAACCAGAATGGAAATGGGAACATGTTGTTAGAGGTATGCTGTAAAAGCAATATTTTGTAGTTTCTATCAATTCCATTTTGATCTGGCAATCATGTTTCAGTCAAAGTACATAAGTTTGCAGTTTATTTATTTATGCAATACATACTCCATGTCTTATATTGAAGTAGTGTGGTTCGAAGAGTTTCGAACAGAAAGATCACCTATCGGTTCCTTATAAGACTAAACTATTTGTTCACAGTCTAGACTGGCACTGAGACCCCACTCAGAAAAAGACTGTAGTGTATTCTCGATTCAGTTGGTCTTTGACTGAAGGATTACACT